ATATTATTTGTGACTCTAGAGTTGTCATATTTGAATTAGTGCCTAAAGTTGGTGCACAATCATGTGCCCAATTGAGGTGAGGGGCGGGGGAGAGAGAGGGAGAGAATGCAATCCATGAGAGAGAAAAACCCAGTCCAATATTTCGAAAAGAGAGAGGACGCGAGAGTGAAAAAAGAACCCAATCCAAGTGAGTGTGAGCAAAAAAAGAAAAACGCAATCCAAGTGCGCCAATGTGTGTGTGAGAGTGAAAAGAAAATCCAATCTAGTGTGTCCATGCGTATGAGTGTCCGATCCAATCCGAAAAAAAAGAAAGAATGAAAAAGATTAACCCAATCCAAAAAAAAGGTGTCCATGCGTATGAGTGAGTGAAAAAGATTAACCCAATCAAAGATAGAGAGATGTGAACAAGAAAAAACAATCCAATATCTTTTTTTTGTTATGTTTGTTTTTTTTTTATTTACATCAATAAAGTTACCCCATGGAATGACCCAGAAGTCCATTTCTCTCTCTTTATTTTCTAACGTCAACCTGCTTGACTGAGAGAGAACCAAGAAGTGAGAAAAAGGGCCTGGATTCAAAAATAAAGGAGAAAACCTAGGAGAAAAAAAGTGAAGGAAATAAAGGCCTTGTTCAATGTCCCATTCCGGATTCAAATGCGAAGGTTCCCTCAAGATTTCCACCGCTCCCTCCCAAACTGCCGCTGTTTGTAAAAATTGCTTGAGCCAACTAGGGCAAAGCCGGATTCATCGAAGGCTACCCATCTAGAAAGAAGGGCCACTGAAAAATGCCTCTCTCTCTCTCTTCTTTTTTATTCTCCTCTTTCCCTAGATGAACTCATAGGTATATGAAAGAGGTGAGGGATTTTGGGTTGTTAAATTTTTAACCTCTAAAGAGTTGCTCTCTTATGGGATGCGTGACCTTACATTTCATGTAGTGTTCTATTGACTCTTACTAGTCGTCCTTCACTGTAGGACTATGATTCTGGATAATTGAAGCTGAGATGTGAACTTGCAATTTCTACCATCAATTTTTTAAAAAATATAACGACAAATTCCATTGATAAAACTTGAATTACGGAATAAGATGACAAGTTCCATCAATTAAACCGACTGTTGAGATAGATTTTGTGTACATTCAACACGTTAAATTGTAATTTGTGATCATCCATTTGGAAATTTCATATGTGACTTTGCATTATTCCATTGATTCTAGGAGGCAAGTGCCTGAAGAGTATTTTGTGTCTCAATATTTATCATTATATTATCATTTTCTTGTCATAGATTGGTGCTTCTTGTCAATAATGGTTAATGGCAAAAAGAGAAATGATTTACCTCAAAAAGATAGAGAGATAAATGATAAATACTATCAAATTCCAGCCTCGTGAAAAAGCTTATGTTTTGTGATGTTTGGAATGGATAAGACAGAGGAGAGAGTCATTTTTATGGGTTTTTCTTGGTCTTTCAAGTTCTGAGGCCTTTCTCTCTCTTCTCTTGCTCGGTCCATGCTGTCAGGCCATTAGAAACAGCCCCGGGGGGGGGGGGGGAGGGCGGGGGGGGGGGTGGTGGTGGTGGTTGACCAGTTCATCAGGTGACCCAACATATATATCAAGATTGGCTGTAGATCTAACGATAGAGAAGAGGGGTCCTATGAGATTCCCATGTGTAAGGGACTCACATGATCATCACGCATTTAAAAAGCAAATAGTTGACGGCTTACAACTTTCCACCAATTTGTCCCGCACCGGACATATCAAGAGATAGGAAGGGAGGCATGGGCTATAAGTTGCTTGAGGCAACACCACACGGAAGGCGTCATAGATAATGACTTGGGCTTGGGTCCTTTTTGGGGAAAAAGAAAAGTAAGAGATAAATGAGTGGATAGCAAAAATAATAATTTCAAAGTGGTAATGGTTCCCCGGTTGTTAGCCGGTTCCCCAATGGAATTGTTGGGTTTTGTTAATGAACTGGCTGGTTTAGGTGGAGACTCTAACAATTAGCTCTAATAATATCCAATTTTGATCCGGATCGACAATTTTTAAAACAACAAGAACCATGAGTATATGTGCAAAATAAAGCCCTAAAAAGTTTAGCCTGTCACCAAGATGGGGGTAGGCGAACTTCTAGAGGTTGGATCTCTGGATAAAGATTACCAATAAGGAAATCGTCTATCTTTGTTGTTTGTATGTTTCCATGCCTTACCCCTAAAAAACCGTTTACCTTTTGGTTTTCCATTATGCAGCGGAAACATTGTTTATCCAAAACTCTTCCCAACCCCCGCAGCGTGGGAGGGCTAGGTTTGGGTCGAACCCAAAACAGATCCGATCTGACAAAGTCAAACTCTCCTAGAGAGATAATACATACAGATTTTATTTCATATATTGTGTAATATATAATTAACAATATATATATATATATATATATATCCAATGGTCAAGATTAATGTCTCACTTCGTAGCAAAAGTAAATGATCTCATTCTATACTTTCCCTATATATATATAGAGAGAGAGAGAAATGACACTATGAGACCCTCCCACACCCATGTGAGTAGGACTCATAAGGATCACCATTAAATTTGACACATATCTCTAGAAAAATTATCACATGGGTGTGGGACTTGACTTTTCTATAGATCTGTGCAAAATTTGATGGTGATCATTTGAAGTCCTACTCACATGGGTGTTGGAGGGTCTCATAGGATCATTACTCATATATATATATATATATATATATATATATATAGGTGTGGTTCTAAAATGGTGGAGTCTTTGTGAATCTAATACTACTATTTTTCATCTGGATGCATTGCACCATATCTCCCATATCGAAAGCATGCAATAATGGCAGCAAAATAGACATGCAATGCAAGGAAGTAACAATACCTGTTGGAAGAATCGTGGTGAGAGGTTGAGCTACAGAAAGTTTTATCAGGAAAGACCTCAAAGCATATTGGAAATCGCTTTCTTCTGAATTCAAATGATACGACTGATTCACGTCTAGCTTAAAAACAAATTTCTCAGAGGGAACATGATCTTCACCATAGAAGATAACTGCCACTCTCTCCACTAATCCCTGACAAAGTGAAGTCAAAAGGAATCTATTACATTCATGGCACATCCCTCCAAAAGTTAAATAGTTAGCACTTAAGCATCATAATTAAATGACATACATATTTATGAAAGACAGAACTTACAATAATATAAAACCCTTTGCCACAATATATTGAAGATCATAAACACCCTTATTCTTGTATACAGAAGGCACAAAAAGAAACTTGCACCTTTTTTTTTTTTGAACGTTAAGAAAATTGCACTTCTACTTTGTGCCGCCCTGACAAGTTATCTTTTAGTGTAGCCATCTCTGAAGTTCCAATTCAGGACTTATTGAAGAGGAATGGTAAGCTCTACCACTCTCTGGCTAGTGTTTAGAACAATGTTTTCAAAATTGGACCAATGGGCCGTATCGGTCACCCACTTCAAGTCAAATAGGCCAAGTTGCCAAGTCAGATCAATTGACTTGGCCAATTATTTAAAAAAAAAATAGAGAAAAGGCAAAAAGATAAAGTAAAAACGTATAAAATGAAAGATTGAAAACATATTCGACTTCATATATAGGACATAAAAATCAAAAGCAAATAAAAAATATCTTAATGAGAAAATGGCATAAAGAAAGCAAAAAGGAAAACCAAAATATCAATCTTCGAGATTTTTCGTTTTGATTAAAAAAAAAATTTTAGGCCTCTTGTAGTCAATATGTTAGGAACATTTTGTGATAAATCCAACTAAATTTGGTTAAAAAATGGGAAAGAATTAGAAGATTTTCGATTCCGGGTTCAAAAAAACCCCAGAATTTGTATTCTTGATTCTTTTTTCTTAGGCAAATCAGCAGGGAAGAAGTCCTCCACCCACGATATAAATGGAACTCAATCCTTTCTCTTAATGGCCTATCCCCTCTTCCCTTCCTAGACTATGGCTTCTGCAACTCCAATCGTTTCTCTTAATGTTGATTCTCTCTCTGATACCTGCAGGGCTACCTCTCTTCTTGTCATTGGGTCTTTCTCCCCCCCCCCTCTTTGGAGACTTGGGGTTTGAGCGACTGGGCTAAACGGGCTTGGGGCCGATCCTATGCCCCGGTTGTCCGTTCCTTTGGCTGTAATAGGATTGCTTTCTTTTTGTCTTCTGCTGATGAGGCTCGCAAGGTTATTCTTTGTAGGCATTGCATGGTCCGGGGTAAGCTTCTTACTCTAGACAAATGGAAACCCAGTGACCATTCCTCCTTGTCTTCTCATTCTTCTTGTTGGGTTCGTTTTAGTGGGGTTTCGTTACATGCCTAGAATCTAGAGGTTTTCCAAAGCCTTGCCAATCTTTGTGGGGTATTCTGTGAGGTCACTGGGACTCTGTTGTGGGCCCGGATCTTTCCTTTGTTTAAAATTCTTAAGCCCCCTACTACTCAGATCCCAACTCAACTGTTTCTTAGACCTCCCTCTTTGCCGGTTGCTCCGTTGGATTCTTGTGTTGATGTTCTGAAGAAGCCAAAACCTCGCAAGCTTTCTCCTTCTAGCCTTCCTGCTCCCCCTGCTTGGGCTCTTCCTTCCCTGGCTTCGAAAGTTCCTGCTCCCAGGTATGGGGGTATGGGAGGACACGTGGACAGTCATCCAACCGTTCATCTTCTCTTGGCATTTCAAATTCTAAGCTGTTATCTTCCCTGAAAAAATGCTGGATCCCCATTGGCCGTTACTTTCAACCTGACTTTTCGGAGTATTCTAAATCTTTTGGCAAGCAGCCCGCCACTCTAGCCCCTTCCTTTTCTGCTACTGCCCTTTCTAGTAACCCCCCTGAAGCCTGTTCTTTCTTGCCTAATTCTATTTCTCTGGGGGATTATGTTGCTTTTAAGAATTCTTCCAGCTCACGTTCCTTTACTGGGGTTCATCCTAGTAACAGGAAGTCTACCTTTTGTGCTGGTGAATCCTCTTCTTGCCTTCCTGTTAGCTCCATCTTGCCTCTTGCTTCCCCCTCAGACATTGGTTCATTTGGTTCCTTGGGAATTCTGCTGATGCTGCTGGTTTTTTGGAAGACTTACCTTTTTCTTGCCTACCCTGCCCTGCCTTTGAAAATTCGGTGAGTATCCTATAAGTCTCCTCCTACCACACGAGATGCCCAAGAATGCTTGCTGAATTCTTCACCTGTAGCATTTCCTCCTGGGCCTCTTGACCCTCTTCTCCTTTGTTCCCTGCTGGCTAGGGAGAGCTCCCTATCTTTCTTTCTTCTTCTTCACACCATGATTCATCGCAGGCTGCTGCCCTTTTGTCTCGCTGCCAAGAAAGCTCGTCATTGTCGCAGGCTGCTGCCCTTTGCCTTTTGGCATTCTGCAGTAGTTTGGGATGCTGAGTCTGATTCCAATGATCTTCACACGAGCGAGGACTTCTCAGCTGTTAGAAATGCAAGCCAATTGCAGGTCGTTCCCCTCTCTGTTTCTCATGCCGTTGCAGCTGTGGACCCTGAGCTGTTAACAGATTTAGCTCCTGGTTCTCTGAAGGAGCTCGTACCTGTTGTTGATGATTTGCAGACGCTCTCCCTTGCGGCTGTATCTTTGGAACCTGAGCACTCAGTGGCACTAGTTCCCGGTTCTCTTGAGGAGTTCGAACCTTTCGAATCTGTTGCGGATGAGTTGAAGAATCATTTGGATGCTGATCCTTTCCCTACCCCTACCAGCTATGTTGATAATGTTGCTGAGCACTCAGCGGCATTTGGTCCTGGTACTCTTGAGGAGTCCGAGCCTGAGGAGTTTGAACCTTTCGAATCTATCGCTTATGAGTTGTAGAATCCCTTGGATGTTGATCCTTTCCCTACGCCTGTTGGTTCCGAGCCTTTGTCTCATGAACCTTCGCCTCTGGCAGTTCTCTCTGATAACCATTCCGCTTACTTAGATATGTTTGATGACCAGAGCGCTTCTTTTCGGGTCCCTCAGAGCCAAATACTGGATGCTATGGATGCAATCATTTTAGTAAACACCTTGCTCCTTCGATCACCCCTAGTCACTCCCTCTTCTATTAATCAGGGGGGTCGTGCGATTGCCGAAGTAGCGGTACCTGATGTTGCTGCCGAGACTTCTCCTGTCTCTATGCCTTTGCTGATGGTGACTGAAGATGTTGCTTTGCCTTTGCTGCCGAAGACTGAAGATGTTGCTTTGCCTTTGCTGCCAAAGACTGAAGACGTTGCTTTGCTTGTGGCCACTAACACCGCGAAGGCCAAAGGAAAGCCTAGACATTCTTTATCTAGGGGATCCTCTGCGAGAATTGCTGCTTGTGGAACCCCTCTTCAGCCCTCAGGCGGAGGTCTGGTCATCCATTCGGGCCCATCCTCTTCTGAGCCTCTCGACTTCTCTAGCAGCTCCAGCAGCTCCTCCTTGATGTATTCTGGACCTACTGAAGATGGTGGCTCTGACAATCCAAGTGAAACCTCCTCCCTCCATGAAGATTATTAGCTGGGAAGTCAGAGGACTCAGTGAGGAGCGCCGAAGAAAAGAGGTTCTTATTTGGGGTAATGGATCTTTATGTTTTGAAGGTATCGATGCTATTGGTAGTTCTGGTGGCTTATGGGATCTCTGGGACCCTACGGCTCTCCTCTGCTGCCAAGTTTTGAAATCTGACAGGTTTTTAGCCATCATCTTTAAAGGTCCTATTTGAAACTTCCGTTGGGTGCTCATTAATGTCTATGGGCCAAACTCTCCTGCTTTGAAATCAGCTTTTTTGGATGATGTTAAGGATATTATTGTCTCTATTGGGTTTCCTATGTGCATTGGTGGGGACTTTAACCAGATTCGTCACCCTGATTAAATCTCTTCAACCTCTCGTATGAGCTCGCATATGCTTTTTGTTTAATGAATTCATTATGGCCATTTGCCTGTTTGCTTGATCACTAAGGATATGATTCCTGGTCCTAGACTTTTTCGACTTGATATTGGTTGGTTGAATGAACCTGAAGTTGTTGATTTGGTAAAACGGACCTGGGTTAGTTATGTTTTTTGTAGTGCTGGGTTTCAACTTCACAAAAAATTGATTTCTTTAAAACATAAAATCATTGCTTGGAAAAAAGAAACTCAATATCAAATCAAAGGCAAGATTGAGACCACCATTATGGATTTAGAATTGCTTGAAAATTTAATCGAAGATAACCATGCTATGTCAGATGACCTTTTAAGGAACAAACAGGTGTTGCTTAACAATCTGCATGAGTATCTTAGATTGAAAGAAATCTATTTAACAAAGGTATCTTAGATTGAAAGAAATCTATTTAACAAAGGTCTTAAATGGCAAGAGGCCCATCATGGAGGGATGGTTTTGTCATTTGTTAAAAAGTGCTTAGGGGTATTTGGTCATTTGGTCCAAATACGAGATCACCCTTGTTTAGTGGTCGCTCTATTTAAAGAACTTAAGTCACTTGTAAACCTAAGTTTAGAAGCATAATAAAAACGGGGTGTTTGCCCTTTCGAGCCTTTGCTTGTCCATAGCTTCTAACTTCAAAGGAGATGAAAGAGAAATTTACCACCTTAGGTAATTACCCTTGGAGGACCCCCCACTTCCTAGAACCCTAAGGTTCCAAGCACCTTAGGATTTCCAACCCCCAATTCCATACATCCTAGAACTCCTAGCTTCCATACACCCTTTGAACCCCCCTAACTCCCAATCCTAACCCATACATCCTCCTCCCCACTTTAGCTTGCCTACACCCTAGTCTACACCATACATCCTACATCATACACCACAATACCCCATGAACCTTAGCCTACCCTATACACCTTAGTTCCTATGCACCATACCCTAACCTAACCAACCTAAGCCATACGCCTTGGCCGTAGACTCTAATCTTGACCCACCAAGCCTAAGCCCCTTTCTCTCTCATATGCATGCAAAGAGGCTGATGAAAGTACACCAAACCTAAGCTGCCTAGGTCCACTCTCTCTCCTTTCTTTCTCTATCTTTCTCTCTCCTTTTCTCTCTCTCTCCACTACTTGGATTCAGGTCCAAGCCCTCCCTCTTTCCCCTCATTTCTCCTCTCTTCCCATTATGCACG